ATTTTTTAGATTAGCAGAGCACAGGAAGGTCCAGTATTGTTGGTGTGCCCCTGAGCAGGAGGGAGCCACTGCCGGCCCTTACGACCTCGGGGTGGGCCACACCTGTAAGCTTTCTGATGTCTGTCTTTGTCTTTCTTTGATCTTTCTCACACTACAAGTCCGTCAAGTCCTGCCATGTACCACGTAAACTTCTGTCGAACTTGGCGGAAAGGAATGTAGTGTCACTCCTAACGCCATTTTCCCCATTTTTTTTCGAAGTTCCTGACGAAATCTGTTCATTCCGACAGAGTTGACAGGAGTTTTCAGAAAACCTCCCAGGTGATAAGCAGGTATAGAAGCTGTTAAGAGGTTATCCGGTATTCGATGCGTACAGTCTGCAGGATTTAGTACGTTGACAAGCGCTCACAGGTATGCCCCCCCTTTCCCCGAGATTATTAGGCCCCCACTGCTTCCAGTGTGGATTCCTCCTCCACACTACCCCAACTCGTTTGTTAAGTTTCTGTTATGAGATACTCTGCCCCTTCCAGAAAATTTTAGCACTTCTCATTGGACCATTTCCCTCCTTTTCTGATCGTTCACTTTTTTCGGGTTTTTAGGTGGATAGAGACCCAGATACCTGGTAGAGTTACCTCTTAAGCAATCTTTCTAGAACAGTAATATCCGAAAATGTTCACTTGTAATGGTTTCAGTGCTCAATGCCCACCATCTCTTGACTAAATACAAATGCATACTCCTTGATTACTGGCAACTCCAGCTCTCTTTCAAGAGTTATTCATCACGAAACTTGTCGTACAATAGAACGCCCTAGACCGTCGCCCACTTATGAACATCCGATTTTGCCCTAAACACGAAGTAATGTAATTGAACTACTCTCTCGGGCGCGTGTTTGGATAACGGTCGTTTCGCCCCGCCTCCCACAAGGAATCCGACTAATCGCGTGGCGATGGTGACCAATCCTCATACGTGGCCACACCCCTTACCTCCCCTGAGCCACACCCCTTGACGGCTCTCTACGGCGCTTTCCTCACCGGCTAGTGTTTGCACAATGCCTGTCGGTCGCACTACGTTGCTCAAACGTCAACTGCTCGTCGTGACGACTCCATCTGAAGCACAGTGACTTCGTGGGTTGCTGTAGCGTGTCTGTCCGGCTCTACCTACCGTGCTCTCTCACGAGCTGCTTCGTCTCGTCGCCGCGAGCGGCGTACTGTTTGCATTCACCTGTGCAGTGCCGGGGTGCGCCTAGAGTCGCGTCTCATTCCATCAACTCTTCGAGCAACTCACTTTTTCATTACAAATCAGTAATTCATTCCTTTACAGTTCACTTTATGTACTTTCTGTCCTTTCGACTTTCTAGTGCATAGAGTGACCTTACGGGTGAGTACGGCGGCGTTTCTGATAAGCTTATCAGCCGTAACGGAACGGTTTCTTCTGTTCGGCTAAAGCTTATGTCCACATACCCATATTGGGGGCAGATTGTGTCATAGTGTCAATTTTGCCAGCGGCTACTCTACTGTTTGCTCTAGGGTGGTCGTTTTGTTTACATATTTACACATTCTCAGTTGCAAATTCCCAGTTAAATATTTGAGGTCTAAACAACACGTGTCAATATTGAAATAAGGTTGGCACCATTGATCTTTTGGAAGGACCGCTGGACCAGGGCTAAGAAGGCCTGTAATTAAAGAGAGCTGGCTGGGACATGGGGCCGAATTTACATTTTTCGGGTAGCCTAGGAGTCTTATGACTTCTTTTGGGAGGAAAGAGAGCAAGGGCCGTAGTGAAGCATTTGGCCCCAGATCCAGTTTTCAGCCCTTCTATCTGACTGAAAGGTCTTTGACGGTACCGATTTGCAGACAACTGTTACTCATCAAAATTCCTCTGATAACGACTGCCGCTATTTCGGTGCTTGGAACGCTAGAGTTCCAAAAGATATTTACGTGTTTACTGGTAGCAAGAGATTCGTACCTGTACCGCCGCACAGGTACCATGCTGTTCCAGACCTTATCAATTATCATCAGTTATCTTCCTTCGCCCCTTTTCTCCAGCCCAGTTCCAGCTACTCATCGAGCTCTCTAAACCTCCGCTGTTCACCTTAGGTATTTCATTCACGCCTATTTTGGAATTACCACTGCCAGTCCTATCAAGACGATTCACACCCTGATGAGATGACGAGGCCTTAATCAGCCAATATACCGCCCCAGGGCTCTCTTCTCTGCGCTAAATTGGTGTTCTCATCGAGCGCTTGAAACACGATATATGAGGTCAGCGCTAGCTAGAGCCTCCTGCCATGCTTCTCTATCATGTTCTTTTCAGCAATGGATTTGTGTGAGGGTCCCACTTGGGAAGAGACCTCTTTTCTATCTTTCTAAACCTATTTTTTCTCGAATATTTGCTTCAATGCCGCATATACCGCTTTTTAGCTGAACTTTTTCCCAAAAAATGCCAATTTCAGATTCAAAGGTTCGGCATGCTTCCGAGCAGTCTGGCCGTCTCGTCGAGCACGGCAGCACTGGACGCTTCCAGCCTCTATCAACCCTCCACAGTCGGGCAGACCGCAATACACGTTCGTTAATTCTCTGCTCCTTCCAAAAGTTTTTCCCCAACAGAATTGATACGAATCGATCAAAAACTGGTCTCTCTAGACGGGTGCGTTGTTTTCGGCGGCGAGGTCTTACGTGAGTGAGTGCGTGCGTGTGTGTGTGGGTCTGACTCACAGCACCACAGATAGCTTATCAGACTTGGCCTGGCCTCATTAATATACTGCAGGCGGTCCAGGGTACCCAAAAACGTGTAGGAAACTCACACGCCCACTCACCTATCTCGTTGTTTGATCGTTTCTGCAAGCTGTTGATTTTTTACGTGCATTCGTTACGTTTTCCTGCTGATGTTCCCGAAGCACCTGCACTGGAAAAATATTTGTACTTCATAGTGAGACAGTTGGTTCAATCGTGGGCATGGTCTGTGGCTTGGGTAAAGTCACCTCGATCCATCGTGGACAACGAAAAAGGGCACTGTTTAGCAGTTACGGTACTTCTCTAGGGATGACTGCACTATGGAATCACTTTCACTATTCAGAGCAGTTCGACGATGGGGGGGGCATTTTGCACTTTTGCTACTTCCCATCGACGTGTCGACCATCTAGAGAGCCATTTCGTGAGCTTACAAGAGTTGACAGGTTTTACCATGATGGCTCGACGAGCTTGCTCCAGCTTCACAAGAGTTCACAGGTTTCACCAGAGTGAGACTTGTAAACCGGAACTAGTGAAGCAGCGAAAGTGCAAAATGCCCCCCCCATCCCGTCGCCGAACTGCGCCTCACTATTCTTATCACGACTGCCCGTATACAGACCCAATCACAGTCTTATAGGCACAGCGCCATTCTAAGCTGGACCCCGAAATGCATCCTGAACATCCACGTAAATTAGACGCGGTCTCTTATAGAGAACAACGTGAAGTGTATCTTAGCGCAGAGCTTTAAGCTGAGCCTCACCTCGCTGGAAGTATTTTGAGCGTCATGGCGGTTTTGCACCTGATTTTGAGCTCGTCTAGTATCCCAAAGCGATGGCGATATTGCTGTAGGACCCGGCCGAATCACGTTCCACGTTCTTTCTGGAGAGTTTCTTATCCACAGTTTTCTAAAGGGTATTTGACGGAAACAAGTTCCTCAGTGTGCCACTAGTTCCGCTCAATACTCATACACAGGGAAACCGGTGATTGGATCTGCCTCCGTTCCGACGGACGATAACCTCGTCTAGCCAGTCAGTCCTCATGGAGCCCTTAGATTGACGCCGTGGGTTTTATTGGCCTTAGTCCGTCCTCCCTTCTAGTCGATCGTTCGTTGCTGTTCACACGATTTGCACGCGGCGCATCAAATTCATCCCGTCGGCGCAACTTACGCTTGGCTGGTGTGCCCCACTGGAAAAATTCGCGGGAAAAAGCGTACGATCGAGCGAAAACCGGGTTCGCCCGGCGAATTCCGTCGGCCAGAAAGTTTCTTAGCCGATTCCGCCGCCCCGGTTAGCTGGTACAATGAAGCCAGAGATACGTAACGTCCGGGAGGGTGCCAGACAACTCACAATCGGGGGTTAGAACGGGCGCCACGATCGCGCACGCCACCATGGTGACAGATATACCGTATACTTATCCTAGTGATATTTACGAATACAACCTCATCGCCGGATTTGTGGAAGCTCTCATAAAAATAGATTTTGGGGGAGGGCGAATTATATTTAGTAGTAGCCATTGCGATTGTAATTAATGCCATGAGCAGGAGTTGAAGTTAACCAAGCGGGTTAGTATTCTAGAGGAGTTGAGGACAGATAAATGCCCTGAGAGAAGCCTTGGTTACCCCGCCATCGAAAAAAGAGGGAGCTCTGTAAGAAATCCTAATATTTCTGCTTGAAGCCAAGCAGGAAGCTGTTTCTCGGAGTGAATCTAAACTGGCAAGCTGAGCAGAAGTTTCTCTTCCGTGGGAGAACATCTAAGGAGCTTTCCCAGCTGTGGTAAATTTAAGAGATCCCCGAACAAGGCAACTGAATCGTCGGGCTCCAAACCAACGTAGAGTCCTTAGGTGCATTCGTGAAAACTTCTCCTCAATTTTATGAACTCAAGTGCTTCTTCAGTACATTAATAACGGACCAATCCAGGAGGACTGAATGGCAGAATACATTGAAGTGCAGATCGGCATGAGGGGGGGGGGCAAATGGTTCACAGCAAAGCCTGTACGGACCACCTTAAGAAGTCCTGTAATACCCGGCGACAAAAGTAGCTCTCATAGACAATTTCGCAGCTTCACAGGGATTCGAAGTGAGACTTAGTTAACATGCTCCTAGAAAGGAAATGGTGAAAGGTGCGAACATGCCCCCTCCAAGAAAATATTACTGCCTACTGAAATATTCATAGCTATTTATATATTTAAAATTGATTCTCCAGCATCTTCTTCTTTTGTTTTGTTAGTTCATTGGCAATTCTTTGGCTGAAAATCATATCAATCCTTTCTAGGGTATGACCTCGCAAGATTACGCGGCCTCCGTACAACCGACGTATTCAACGAACACCAACGCCTACAATGCCTATCAATGGCCCACAGCTATTAATGGGATAAATACGTTGAATACGCTTGGAACTTACAATCCATACAATAGTTATACTACCACGACGACGCAGATGAACAACGCCTATGGCGGTTTTCGAGTTGGTGGTGGCATTTCACCTATCGGTACGTTTGACTATTCAGTTGGATTAAATTGTCCAAGGAGTAGAGCCTATAGGGTTATTCACAATGACACGTTTTCAAAAATCAATATTAAATCGTTCCACGTTTCAGGTGGCAGCCGAAGCGCATCGGGTGGCAGCACAGGAACGACCTTGTCCGGAACTTCCGCCTCGACCGCCTCACCATCCCGTGGATCATCCTGTGGTGGAGGCGACCAGCAGCTTACCAGTTCTGAACTGGTATGTCTTGCCAAACACTTTCAGGCGCAGTTCGGCTTGGTGGGGGCATTTTCTGATTTCCATCGATGATCGGCGTTGCCTTCTGTAGGGACCTGCGAATTTCTGGAAAGCTATGCAAATGCAGGAGCTCCACTACCACTTGACAAGAGCTTATAGGTCTCTGCAGGTAGAGACATGTAATTCTACAGGAACTAGCAAAAGAAGTAAGGGGAAACATTGAATGTCCCCTCCCAAGCCTAACAGCGCCAGTTTTCAACCAGATAGTACATTACCGTAAACGGACATGATTTTCAGGCAAGAATTCGACGTACCGGCAACTATGGTTGTGCGAAACCGCCGTATTCCTACATATCGTTGATAACGATGGCTATTCAGCACTCAGCTAACCATAAGATGACCCTGTCAGAGATCTACAATTGGATCATGGACCTGTTCCCCTATTATAGGCAGAACCAGCAAAGGTCAGGAAGAGGGTTAGCGAATTCCATACTTATTGATCGATCATCCTGCTTGACCCTTTTTGAACACGCTAGGACCTTATCTCCCATTAAAAGACGTCGGATTTTGAAATCCCATCATGAAATTCATTCTTAAATCAGGAAATAATTTTCAGTGACCCTTTAGAGCAGTCCTCAAAATAGGGTGAAATTTGAATTTGATGTGGGCAACTTTCGAAATGAAACGGGCAAAAGGGCTGAGTAGTAAGGGCAGGAAAGGATAGGATGAGGTAAAAGTGGAAGTGTCGACCCATTTTGGACATAATTTCTCATTTTCAAAAGAACAGACCTTCAAGAACCTACTTTCAGGTGGCAAAACTCAATCCGGCATTCCCTATCGTTCAATGACTGCTTTGTGAAGATTGCTAGGTAAGTTCCATCCTCTAGCAGGTTCACAAAGCCTCGATAATTAACCCTAGCCCTATTCCAGAACCCCGGATAAGCCAGGAAAAGGTTCATTTTGGACATTACACGAGCTTTGCGGTAACATGTTTGAGAACGGCTGCTATCTTCGGCGTCAGAAGCGTTTCAAGGTCAAGGAGAGGGATCCACCCAGGAAGAAGGTACTTGAGTTTCACCTCGTTATTGATAACTCCGCATCGACTGGCTTACTAATTTCCACTGACGCTTTAAAATTTGTCCAAATTTTCATAAATTTTCCACGAATTTCAGCGCAACAACAACCAAAACCACAACCACCAAGGTCAAGCCAACAATAGCGCCACCATCAAAGAAGAACTGGATGATAGTTATAAAATCGAGGAGGCGAAGATGGATCTGGGTCAGACGATCCCCAATGGATCCCAGGTAAGCTGCGCCAGCGGAACTTATCATACAGTACCAAAACAAGCTGCTCTCTTAAGGATATCAAAGACTCCCTTCAACAATCGCAACAACAACAACAAATGCAACAGATCTCCATGTCGACGCCATCGTCGTTGAGTCAACCGACGTCTGTCATATCCACCATTGGCACTACCCCTCTTGGAGCTCAGACGACTACTGTAAGTCATTCATTGTCTCTTTCTTCCGGTTCCTATTGTAATGATTGCCTCAGGATGTGCCTTATGGTTGCGTCACTTCCTAAACATTAGACCCTCGTGGTGGTCATGGGTGTGAATGACGTGCTGCGTTACGTTCACACCTCGAGTTTACATAACTTCTCAGTTGCGTAATGAGACGGGTCAGACGAATAATTAGTGAGGAATAAGTCATTGGTGAGATCACCGAAGACTGTGGGTTTTGTGAATTACATACTGGCCAGGGCGAGTCATGGCAACAGGGGAGAATTTCGCTCAATAAAACCTCTCCCCGACCAATATCCAAGTTCCGTTAGACAGGATAAAGGGGGAGGGGACAGATCTGCTAACCTACGGTAATGCTATGAAGTCGGAACTGCAAGATTATCAACTAATGGTGCGCTAAAATCGGGAATAAAATATTAATCTCAATCACCCAATAAATAGTATCCGACTTATTCAATATGCACCGCTCCTTCCTCTCACCCCTACAGCTGTCCGTGCTGAGCATGAGCATCGGCTTTGAAGAAGTGCATCTCCCACAAGTATTTTTGCTTTCTGCGGAAACTTACTGACTCCCTCCCGACCAATATCCACAGTGTTAGTTTTCGCGTCAAACTTCGCTCATTTGTCCACACGGGGACTAAAAGCTGTGAAAACTCAAAATTAGTTGAAATACATTGCGAGCCAAGAATGCTCAAATGACCATTCCCAGCTGACGCTCCAGGCCCTAGACCTTTTGGCAGGGTCAAATTAGATATTGCTACCTTTGAGGATTTTCCTAGGGAATTCACTTAACAGGCTTTTTGAATGCGCAGAATGCGCAGGGATTCTTCTTTCACCTAAGAATCCCACATTGTGACGTTCCTGGTCTGGAGGTAGGACTTGCTAAAGGGTCATAAGCAAAGATAAAGCGCCCTGGAACTGAGATGGAATGGATATCCTTCAAGTGGAAGGTAAACACAACGAATGAGGAGGGGGAGGGTGGTCGGAAAAACAAGCAACTTGATGAAATCCTTCATTAACCTCAAGCTAAGAGTTACTTAACAGTTTATGTGAGGGACCCAACCGCTGTGGCATATGCCTAACCGTCATCACAAATATCATTTCAAACGTTTTTGGAGCAGTTATGCTTGGTGGGGAGGGGCCACCAGGAATGCAAGTTTAGACAAACTTGCGAAAACTGCGAGTTCCTTGTGCCAAATTCTTTCACTTGTGCCATTTCGCAGTATCGCAGCTCACAGGCTCCACCAATAATTACCATGATATGGCAAAAGGAACAAATGGAAGTGCAAAATGCCCCTCCCATGCAGAACAGCACTGTATTCTGGTTTTTCTATGGAGCATAAGCACTTCAAAATTGAAACCAGCAGGAAAACAGCAAAACAAAAAACATGTCAAGATAGGGTCGGAAATGCTCCTCGAGGGTTGGGACTGGGAGACCTCACAGAACCACTGGCAATCCGCAAGCGTCATCGCGAACCCTCTCTATAACTTGGGGAGAAGCCCTCTGGTTGAGCCAGAGCTGGGATGAACCAACTCGGTTTCGGAGCATTCAGCGCCATCACACAACATTTTTAGGGCCAATTGGCGATGGATTATGATTTTTCTT